TGTTGGGGGTCCTTGCCATGTGAGGAGTCCCCGGAGGGGGTGGAGGGAAGGGTAGGGGGCACCCCTGCCCCTTCAGTCTGGAGCAGCAGGACCCTGCAGCTGTGTGTGTGTCCCTCCTGTCACCCAAGGCATCTCCCGACCCTTTGTGTGTGACGTGGTGTGACAAGGCGTGACGTGGTGCGACACCCCCCACACGACCACCCCCTTTCCCTTCTGCCACTGCCACCCACCTCCCAAGCCCCACCACAGAGTCCAGTCCCCATCAGTGCCATCCCCTGCTGTGCCAGTGCCCTCCGTCCATGTCACTGTCCCCACGCACCCATGAGTGTGCACACGTGCCTTCCCATCTTGGTGCCACATGCGTCTGCAGGGCAGTGGTGGTGACCATGCTGGTGGGGGCTGTCTCCAAGTGTCCCCCATCATGTGCCCCCATTGTCACCCTGGTACCCTTAGTGGGGCACTGGAACAAGCCCATCCACGGGACACCCCACGGGACCCCTCCAGGGGACACAGGAGCCCCTCGACAGCCCCAGTGCTCTGTGCCTCGGTGGCAAGAGGTGGTTGTGGTGGGGTGTCCCCTGTGGGACCCCCCCAGGAGGGCCCCCCTGGCCTGGGCAGTCCCTGTTGCCTCTGTCAATCAACCCTGGCCCCATTCCCAGTGCTGGCAAAGATGGAGATCCCCAAGCTGCTCCTGCTCTGGGTGCTGGCAGGCGAGTAACAACCCCGTCACCCCCCCAGGGGGACATGGTTGGGCCTGGGGGACCCCCAGCAGGGAGGACGGGGCGGGGGGACCCAGAGCGAGGTGGGCATGAGGGGTGTAAGTGGGAGAGGACATGGGGACAGGGCTGGGACGTGACAGAGCTAAATAAAACCGTCCTGTCCCGGGTGCCAGCTGGGTTTGGGACAGGGCGGGGGACAGTGAGTGGGACCTCGGCGTGACGGGGCCAGGGAAAGAGAAAGTGCTGACCCCATACCTTCCCTGTCCCCATCTTGTCCCCATCCCCATCCTGTCCTTGTCTCCATCTCATTTGACCCCATCACCACTTTGTCCCTATCTCATCCCTGATCCCATCCCTGTCCCATGCCTGGTGCCATTCTGTCCCTGCCACCATCCTGTCACCATCCCCATCCTGGTCTGACTCTATCCTATCTCTGTCCCCATCCCTGTCCCTATCCCATCCTCTCCTAAATATATCCCCACTCCACTGCTTTGGGACACTTGGCACTGCAGGGACACATTTCTGTCCCAGGGGGTCTGTGGCTTGTCCCAGGGTCTCTGCAAAAGGGGAATCTGAGGCAGGGAAGAGCCGGGTATCCCCAGCCCTGGCTCCAGCCCTGTGTGTGGTCTCTCAGTCGTGGCCCTGGGGGTGTCCCAGACCACCCTTCCCGACCACCGCGTCCTCCCTGATCACTGCATCTCCTCCGAGATGGGAACCATCTTCGTCCATGAACTGGAGAGGGAGCTGTTCCAGGAGGCCTTTCCCACTGGGAGCGAGGATGAGGATGGTGAGGGCCAGCATGGGAGGACTGGGGAGATGGGACTCGTAGTAGGGGCACTGGATAATCCTACCTGCCAGTCCCCACCCCAGCTGGGCTGTCCATCCATCCATCCATCCATCCATCCATCCATCCATCCATCCATCCATCCTTCTCTCCCTTCCTCCCTGCAGTCCATCCCTCCCTCTTACCCTCCTTCCATCCCATCCCATCCCACCCCATCCCATCCCATCCCATCCCATCCCATCCCATCCCATCCCATCCCATCCCATCCCATCCTCCATCCCTCCATTCCTTCCACCCTCCATCCCACCCTCCATCCCTCCCTCTCCACTCCCCACCCATTTGAGACCCCCCGAGCAGTGTCAACCCCCCTGAAGCAGTACTGAGTGTCCCCTCCCCTGGGTTTCCCTTCCATTTGAGGGATCAGGACCCCTGGGGATCATCCCTGTTGTCTTGTGGGGACCAGTTGGACAGGGAAGGACTTCTCAGGCAGAGGGGTCCACCCACACCACAGCCTGTGCCTTCCACATGTCTGTGTCCATTCCCACCCACTCGTGTGTCCCAGCAGCCCTCATCACCTTCCAAGCCCACCTGTGGGACCACCCGGACCTGCCGCGGTGGTTGCGGTACCACCAGCGGGACCCCCGCCAGCCTGGCTACCTGTACGGCTGCCCCACAGTCAGCGAGGTGGGCACCCACACCATCGAGGTAGGTACCCACCATTACTCCGCCTGCTTATGGGGTAGCACAGGAAGGGGTGGCATCTTCAGCGGTGTCCTCTGTCCTTGCAGGTGCTGGCCTACAACCGCCACACTTATGCCACGGTGTCCCAGCGCCTCATCATCACCATCATCCCCGCCCCAGGTGAGGGCTGAGCACCTGCAGATTACACCAGGATACCCCCCAGGACAGGCAAGGGGTGTCCCCATAGGTACCATGTGTCCCTCCACAGGTGGGGAGCCCCCCTACCAGGGTGAGTTTCTGGTGGGGAACAGAAACGTGGAGGAGCTGCTGCCGGAGGCCGAGCGGGAGATGTTCCTGCAGGGCTCGTCCGGCGTCTGGGAGCGCGGAGACCTCCAGGTCATCAACATCACCTCCGCCTTGGACCGCGGTGGTCGCGTCCCGTTGCCCATTGAGGGGCGCAAGGAGGGGTATGGGCAGGGAGGGGGGGGCTGGGGGGACTGGGGCAGACCCTGGGTGGGTTTTGGGGGTCACCTCCAGCCGTTGCCCCCTGTTCTGTATGCAATAGTGGGTTCCCATGGGACCTTTTGGCCATGGGTGGACTTTGGGGGACCACTCCCACTGCAGAATGTACATGAAGGTGGGTTCCCAAGGCCCCTTCTCTCCTTGGGTGGGTTTTAGAGGGCCAGTGCCCCCAGCCTCACAGGATGCACCTGATGGTGGGTTCCTATGGGGTCTTCTTGATATTTTTTGGGGGGCTCACCTGAAGATGCCTTAGGGTGTACATGAGGGTAGTTTCCTGTGGCCCCTTCTCACCATGGGTGGGTTTTGGGGGGCCGCCTCCAGCCAATGTCCCCCACTCCCCAGGGTGTACATAAAGGTGGGCTCCCATGGCCCCTTTTCCCTGTGGGAGGGGTTTTGGGGGCCTCCCTCCTGCAGCGTGTACATGAAGGCAGGTTCCATGGCCCCATCTCACCATGGGTGGGTTTTGAAGGCCACCTCCACCTCAGCATGTATGTAAAGGTGGGCTCCCATGGCCCCTTCTCACTGTGGGTAGGTTTTGGGGGTGGTCACCTGCAGCCATTGCCCCCCACCCTACAGCATGTACATGAAGGCAGGTTCCTATGGTCCTTTCTCACTATGGGTGGGTTTTGGGGGCCCACCTCCACCGCAGGGTGTACGTGAAGGTGGGCTCCCATAGCCCCTTCTCCTCGTGCCTGGAGTCGGCAGTGTCCCCCCAGAGCCGATTCCGCTGCAGCCTGGGCCAGCAGCCCCTTGCCTCCTGCTATGACACCTTTGCCCCCCACTTCTCCATCCGCTGGTGCAACCTCAGCCTGGTGAGATCCACATGTCCCCTCAGCTCTCACAACACACCCCGTAGGGACCCACCACCCCTCCTAACCACCATCAACCCCATTACAGCTGCAGGTTTGGCCCAGCCCCACGACGCCGGGGTTGGTTTGGGGGTCCGGGGTGCTGGAGGAGGATGGGGATTTCCAGCCCCCCACCGAGGTGCCCCCTCATGACTTGCTGCCGGGGTTCCTGGTGACGCTGTTGGTGCCACTGGTGGTGGCTGCACTGCTCTGCCTGCTCCTGGGTCACCTCATGTGCTGCCGCAGGGAGGGAGTGTGAGTCAGGGAGGCAGGTTTGGGGTGGGGGTCTCCCCTCCCCCAGCCCAGTTGGGGTCTCTCCCCTACCCCAGGTTGGGTGCCCCTTCCCCAGCCATTGTGGCTCTGGGACAAGCTGGGGGTGGTGAGAGCCTTTCTCACCATAATTATAATTTTTTTCCCTTTTCCCCCTGTTTTGTAGGCAAAAACGGGACTTGCAGACGACTGAGTAAGTCCTGACACCCAAGACCAAGCTGTGGGGGTGCTGGGGGGGCTGCCCTGAGGGGGCTGCTTTGTGGGGCTTTGTCATGGGGATGGGAAAATAAAAGGACAGGGGGGACATGGGAGCAATCGGCTGTTTGGGCTTGTCCTGGAGGTGGTGGAACTTAAAGGTTCCCTCTTCCCAAAAGACCCCCCCAGCCCCCCTCCTCCCCCTCCTCACCCCTCCACACCTGCCAATAACTCCTCTGAGATACGGGTTGGAGCACAAGAGTTGCTTTACTTTTCCAGTAGCCTTGGGTGGAACCAACAGCAGCCAGGACGACCCTGGGAATGGGGGGCAGACCCCAAGGATGAGGGGCAGACCCTGATGATGGGTCCAGACCCCAAAGTCGGGTGGGTAGACCCCCATTATAGGTGAACAGATCCCAGTGATGGGTGAACAGATCCCAGTGATGAGATGCAGACCTCAATGATGGGGTACAGACCCCAATAACAGGACAGCAAACCCAAATGATGAGGGTCAATTCCTCGTGAGGCAGACCAGACCCTAATTATGGAGTCCAGACCCCAGTTTTAGGAGACAGACCCCAGTGGTGAGTGGGTAGAACCCAGTGGTGGGGTGTAGACCTCAAAAGTGTCATTCAGACCCCGATGATGGAATGCAGACCCAAATGATGGATAGGCACACCCAAATGATGGGGTTCAGACCCTGATTTCAGGGGCAGACCTCAATGTTGGGTGAGCAGGCCCTGTGGCTGGAATCCAATCATGGGGTGCAGACCCCCGTAATGGCATTAAGACACCAATGAAGGCTAGGCAGACCCAAATTGTGGGGACCCAATCCCAGTGATGGGATGCAAACCCCAATAATGAGGGGAAAGACCTAAATGACAGGGCGTAGACCCCAATTCTGTGAGGCGAACCAAAATGGTGAGTGGGTAGACTCCAAAGGTGGGGGAGGAAAACCCTAATAATGGGGCACCAACCCCCTCCCCAGGGGGATGTGGGTGAAAACACGGGGTGCTTCATCACCTTCTCCTTCCCCCATCAGCATCCAGCTGGTCCACCACACCACCATCCACGGGGACACAGAGGAGCTGCGGCACATGGCTGGGAGCCGGGATGTGATCCAGGATGTGCCCCGACCCCTTTCCACCCTGCCCATGTTCAATGTCCGCACGGGCCAGCGCATCAACCCCATTCCCAGCCCCCGCGATGGGGCCCGTGTCCCCCTCCTCCCCCAGTGAGGGGCACCCAGGGGGATGCCATGGGGAAGGGGACAATCCCAGGGATGGGAAAGGGGTGGTCTGATGTTTCTGGGGGTTCAGAAGCCTGGCAACAGGCAGACCTAAGCCAGATGGGTGGTCACCCTTCTGACTGGGCTCTGCCTGCTGCTGGGCTGTTGCCTGGAGGATTTTGGAGTGTTTCCTCTTTAGAGTGAGTTTTGGAGCATAAATTGAACATTTAGTGATGAAATGAGGCTTCTCTGCTTTATTTACAGAGTGGGTTTTGGGGCACCCACCCTGTTCCAGCCATGATCCCCCATCAAAGGCTTGCAACCCCGGTAAGGGGTTGCGATGACTCTGTGCATCCCCCAGCCTTGTGGACGGAAAGGGCAGCAGGAAGGGGATGGGGATAGGGACAACGGGGGGGGACACAGTCCCTGGGACCCATGATGGCACCCCAGTGCCCCCCCCAGCTCACCTGTGTGTCTGTGTCCAGCAGGATCTCTCCCAGAACTCCCAAATCCTCCGTCTGCACTGCATAGATGTGGATATCCACTCAGTGTCCTTAGCACCCCCATAACCCCTCCCCCGGCCTCCCCAGGGGGTCCCCACAGCCCAGTCCCTCCAAAGAAAGAGCCTCTTTCACCACAGCTCCCCCCCCTCACGTGGGGCAGGCGCCAGAGTGGGGGTTAGGAAAACACGGGGGCCCAGGAGAAACAAGGGGACCCATTGATGGGCCGGAGAACGGCGGCATTGAGGGCTCGTCCCGCTGCCAGAGCAGCCCCCCCCAAGCTGTGGGGGTCATGCTTGTGCTTCCCTCCCCATGGTGGCAGGCACCCCCCATCCTGGGCACACATAGGGGTGCTGATGGTCCCTTGGTGTGAATGAGCAGGTATGGGGTGTGTGGATGGGGCTGGGATGTGTGGGGCACTCAGGGGAGGGGTGGGAGACTTGTGGTGGGGCACAAACACACTGGGACCTCCCCACACTGGATCATGCATGCTCTGGGGTACCCACACACTGAGGCACCCCCACACTGGGGTACCCCTGTAACAGAGCACCCCCACACTCACCCACCAACCCTTCTTGCACCCCTTTCGTGAGCCCACCCCACTGCCCCAATTCTGGGTTGTCTTTCTGTGGCCACCCCAATCCCCAGTTCCTTTTGGGAGGTCACCCCCACACCAGAGCACCCCCATCCCTCTTGCACCCCAAGGTGATCCCACGCCCCTGCCTCAATTTTAGGGTGTCTCCCTGTGCCCATCCCACTCCCCAGTTCCTTCTGGGGGCTCCCCCCGAGCTGAGAGCCCCCCAGAGGCCCCCTCCCGGTCCCGGCTGCCCCCCAGCCCTTCCTCCCTTTGATCCCCCCTCTCCACATTTCTCCCCCTATTTTGGGAGGAGACACAGACACCCTCCTCCCCCAGATGCCCTCCACTGTGGGTACCCAGCAGCTCTGCTCCACTAAATCCAGCCCAACCCTCCTACTGGGCGGGTGGGTCCCCCTTCCTTCCTCTCCCCCCTCATCCCAGGGTGACTGGAGGAGGAGGGCTGGGGGCTGGAAAGGAGAATGGGCAGGAGCAGAGTGCAGAAGCTCGGTGGGAGCAGAGCAGGATCAATCGGGATGAGAGTGGGATCGGGCGAGAAGGAACTCCAAAGGCCACCCCACCACCCACCCAGGACCCCCTCCCAAGGCCCCCCGAGAGTGAGAGGCAGCGTGGAAGAGCACCTCGAGGTTTGTTGGATCATTTCACATGCTTTATTTCAGCAGTCAAAAAAAAAAATTCTTTTTCTTAAAAAAAAAAAAAAAGAAAACCCCAAAACCCACTTAAAATTATTATTATTATTATTATTATTATTATTATTATTATTATTATACATTATACAAACTAGGTACAAACTCCAGGAAAAACCCAGAGTATCCACCGTGAGATCAGCCCGGCAAGAGGGAGTGGGTTCGTGCCCCTCCATGCCCGGGGAGGATGCAGAATGCAGAGATGAAGAGGGAAGGAGGGAGGGAGGGAGGGATGGATGGATGGATGGATGGATGGATGGATGGATGGATGGATGGATGGATGGATGGATGAATGGATGGATGGATGGAGGAAAAGCTGCTGGAAGTTTTGAGAGTGGAGCTGAAGATCCACCTGCTAAACCTGGAAAATTAGTTTATTCCTTTCTTCCCTTTTAATTTTTTGGCTCTGCTTTGCATTTGCTTGGGGATTTGCTCGTGGGATGATGGAAGGGGGAAGGGGGAAAATAGCACCTTTAGGAAATTCCCAAGTGGAGCTGAGCAACAAAGAAAGGGAGAAATAAAGCATAAAATAGAGGGAAATGAAAATAGATTGAGATGTGTCTTTGGAGGTTGTAGCACCAGGAGGTCCCGGGTTTGGGTGTTCTGGGGCCAAAATTAAAGAGAATATCTAAAAATTATTACAATTAAAAAAAACCCAAACCCAAACCCAAAACCAGGATAAAAATCCTGAGGGAAGGAAACCTCCAAAAGAAAATCAAAATAAAAGATCAACAGAGCAACAAAAGAGAAAAGTGGAGGGGGGGGAAATAATAGGGAAAAATTAGCACCTTTGCTCTGAACCTGGTAGGAAAGTCCCGGCACGGTTGAAAAACTCCAAACGAAGCTAAAAATCAAAAACAAAACCAAACAAAAGAACCCTGAAATTAAAACTAAAAAAGACAGTAAAAAACCCCGAAAGTGGTGAGGTAGCCATCTGGAAAGGGGAGGATGCAGCGGAGGGTCGGGTCTGCTCGGCGCCAGGGGCTCCCCTCATGTGCTTGGGAATGAATTGGCTTTGATGCCTGAATGAAAAAATAAAATTAAAAAAAAAAAAAAAAGGAATTCATAATAAAACCGAAAGATTCATAATAAGAAATGGCAAGAACTCAAAAGGATTGTTACCCAAATCAAAAAAACTAAAAAAAGGACCATTACCTGAATCAAAAAACTAAAGAGAGTGGGGAGGAGAGGGAGGGAAAACAAGGAGAAAATGCAAATTACAACCAAGAGTTAAACATCTTCCTGGCAGTAAAAAAATTATGAGATGCAAAAAGCAAAGGGGCTGGTGGGGAAAGGGGGGGTTAAGAGAGGCCAGTCCCAGGGGGTTCCCAGGGAGTTTTCAGTGAGTTGAGCTGCTCCATCTCCAGGACTGAGGAATGAGGGGTGGGGTGGCAAGCAAGCGAACCCACTTCCTGGTGATTTTGTTTGAAAAAGTCATTTATTTTTATTTCTTTTTTTTTCTGTTGTCTTTTGTTTGGTTTTTTTTAGGTTTAATGCTTTTTTTCTCTTTGGGGAGGGCTTTTTAGGTTTTTCTCTTTTCTTTCTTTTAGAGACGCTGGATAGAAAACCGACACAAATTAGAGTCCATGTGAAATTTTCTCCTTTTTTTTTGGCTGTTTTTTTTTCTTTTTTTTATTATTATTATCATTATTATTACTCTCTCCTGTCACGCTTTCGGGGGGAGGGGGTGTCCGGTTTACAAGAAGCAGACGGGGCCGATGTCGATGCCGAATTCCTGGTCTGGAGCGCCGACGTCCATAGGAGCCAAATCAATGATGGGAAGGCGAGAGGTCTTCGTCGTCTTGTACTCGATGACTGTCTTGCCCCATGCACCGGTGTGACTCTGTGGGGACACCACAGTCATCCCCATCCCCAAAAGATGTTCCACCACCCCCTCAGGACCCCCCATCCCTCAGCACCCACCGTGCAGCCATCCTCGGTGACGCTGTATGTGAAGCGGCTGTTGCCTTCAGCCCTGATCTCGATCTCGTTGGCACCTTGGAGTAGAAGAGCCTTCTTCAGGTTGCCAGTGTCCTGATCCATGTAGGCAACACTGTTCTTGCAGTGGTAGGTGATGTTTTGGGCGGCTTCGGTGGACATGAGGCGCAGGAAGGTCAGCTGGATGGCAACGTCGGCGGGGTTGGAGCCCTCACCGCCATACTCAAACTGTGGGACAAGAGAAATCGGTCACTGTGGAGGTCGCCCAGCCTGGTTGACCCCTCACCTCCTGGCCCCCCTGTTCACCTGGAAGCCATCGCTCATCGTCTCGCCGAACCAGACGTGCTTCTTCTCCTTGGTGTTCTTGCTGAGGTACCAGTTCTTCTGGGCGATGGTGGCCTGGGTTGGGTAGACGCACGTCTCACCCGTCTCCATGTTGCAGTAGACCTTGATGGCGTCCAGGTTGCAGCCTTGGTTGGGGTCAATCCAGTATTCGCCTGTGGGATGAAGAGAGGAGAGTCAGGGTGGGGGATGGAGGTGTGGAGCAGCCAGGAGGGATCAGGTGAGGAGCAGCCAGGAGGGATGAAGGATCGAGGTGAGGAACGGCCACAGAAGATGGAGAATGGAGGTGAGGAGCAACCATGGGGGATGGAGGTGAGAAACAAGTGAGAGGAACAGAGGATGGAGGGATAGGTGAGAATGGGAGATGAAAAGATGAAGGATATGAGAGACTGAGAACGAAGGCATGAAGGAGGGAGATGAGGAGCAGCTGTGAAAGGTGGAGGAGGGAGATGAAGAGCAGGTAGGAGGGAGCTGGTGGGTGGAGCGGGGAGTTTGGCAACACCCATGAGGAGGAGAAGAGGAAGGAGGTGAGAAAACAGGAGGTGGAGGGATGGTGGATAGAGGTGATAGCAGCCATGGGAGAAGATGGAGGAATGAAGATGGGAATCAACCAGGGTGATGGAAAAAGGCTGGGGGTGAGGAGAAGGTAGAGGGGACAGAGGGATGTAGGTGAGGGCCCAGAGGGACATGGGGACACTGACCGCTCTTCCAGTCGCCGTGGCACATCTTCAGGTCGCGGCAGGTCCGGGCAGGGTTCTTGCGGGTGCCCTCAGGGCTGCGGATGTTCTCAATCTGTTGACTCAGGCTCTTGAGGGTGGTGTCCACCTCCAGGTCACGGTCGCGCATCACGTTGGCATCGTCAGCCCTGTAGTAGCGCCCGCCGTCGTGGGCCTTCTCCTGGGGTGGCTGGGGCAGGAAGCTGAAGTCGAATCCACCACTGGGGGGTCCAGGAGGACCAGGAGGGCCGGGTGGGCCAGGGGGACCCTACGGCAGGAGAGGAGGAGGATGATGGTGAGTAGGCAGATGATGAAGGCAGGTGATGAAGGTGCTGGGCAGGTGGTGGAAGGGCTGGTACGTACAGCAGGGCCGACATCTCCAGTGCGACCACGGGGGCCGGGGGGGCCGATGGGGCCGGGCAGCCCATTGAGACCATCTTTGCCAGCAGCACCAGCGGAACCAGGAGGACCCTGTGGGACAGGGGAAAGGGTGAGTGTGGCCGTCCTGCCTGGGCAGAGTCTCCCCCTCCAGCCCCGACCCTCATCCCTGTAAGGAACCCAATGTCAGTGGGGACTCCCCGTTCCCCCCAGGATGCTGGATATCACGTCTCATCCAGGGACTTACTCGTGGACCGGCAGGACCAGAAGCACCAGAAGGACCTTGTTCACCAGGAGAGCCCTGTGATGAGCAAGGAGGAAGAGGAAGAGGTGCCATCAGCATCTCATGCTGTCTCCAGGACATAGGGCAGCACCTGGTGCCACCGTCACCCCAAAGGACTTACGGGAGGACCAGGTGGGCCCTGGAGACCGGAGAAGCCTCTGTGACCCTTCATGCCTCTGTCACCCTGTTCACCGGTTTCACCTTTGTCACCACGGGGACCTTGTGGGCCCTGGAGAAGGAGGAGGAGGAAGAAGATGTGTTGAGTGGGATCCGGACCAACCACTGCCCCCATAACTGTGGGGATGCACAGACAGCAAGAAGGATGGAGGAGAACATCTACTTACAGCAGGACCACGAGCACCAGCAGGACCAGGGGGACCAGCAGGACCTTGGGGACCCTGGCACAGGAGAGAAGGGGACAGGTTAGAGCATCCTCCACCTTCTGTTACCACTGGTTTAGGGCAGCAACACCCTGAGAGGGGTAGTGGGGCCTCTGGTTTTACCCTTTGCAGGGTGATGAGACCCCTGTCATCACTCTGAGAAGGGTGGTGGGACCCCTGGTATACTAGGGAAGCCCCTTTCAGCATCAAGAGCTCAGCCTGAGTCCAGACCCCCAGAACAGGGTCCATCTTGGGGTGCCCCTGGGCTGGGAAGGAGTACAAGGGAGGCTCTGAGCAGAGCAGCACTTACAGTCTCACCACGATCTCCGTTCTTGCCAGCAGGACCAACGGGGCCGGGAGCACCAGGGGCACCAGGAGCACCAGGGGGGCCAGCAGGGCCGGTCTCACCACGGTCACCCTGTGAGGAGGAGGAAGAGGAGGAGGAAGAGGAGGAAGAGGAGAGGTCAGTGTGGGTCAGCACAACACCATCACCCCTTCCCATGCCCCCCTCATAGCCCACTCACCTTAGGACCAGCAGCACCATCACGGCCAGGGGCACCTTCAGCACCAGGAGCACCCTGTGGAGGAGGAAGGACCTTTGTTAGGGAGTGTAGGGGGTGAAGAGGGTTCTCTGCTCAGCTCAGCACGGGCCTCTCCATGCACCAACCACGGCAACATGCACCAGTGGTATGAGCTGGCAAGTCTAACGAGCCCAACACTGACACACTGGGGGGGTCAGTGCCCCCCAACACCGATGATTGCCCACAGCCACCCACCTCACGTCCAGCTTCTCCAGGGGGTCCAGCCAGGCCAGGGGGCCCCATGGGGCCAGGAGGGCCGCGCTCACCGGGGGAACCAGAAGGACCTTGTTTGCCAGGTTCACCCTGTGCAGGGGAGAGAACAGGGTGTGTCAGACACTGCTGAACATCCCCCTTCCCCTGTCACAGGGTGAGCTGGACCCTAGGGGGGTCACAGCATTGTCTGTTCCTGGGGATCCCCTTGGTACTCACAGAGGGGCCAGGCAGCCCAGGGAAGCCTCTCTCTCCTCTCTGTCCGGGGAGACCAACGACACCGCGCTGGCCAGCGATACCTTGGGGTCCGGGAGTGCCAGGAGCACCCTGCGGGGACAAACAATGCCTCAGGGTGATGGCAGCGATGGGGACCTCCCTCCCTGTGGAGGGGACAGCTAGGGGCGTGACCAGCACAGGGGATCTGACCAGGGGCTTGACTTACAATGGGGCCATCAGCACCAGGAGAGCCCTTCTCGCCAGGGGGTCCAGGGGGTCCAGCAGGTCCTGGCTCACCGGGGCGGCCAGCAGGGCCAGTCTCACCACGGGGTCCTTTGCCACCTTCCTTCCCGCTGGGGCCAGGGGGGCCGGGGAGGCCGATATTCCCCTGGGCGGAAGGGGAGGCAATGCCATCAGGCAGCTGTCTGAGATCCCCCCGGCTGCCAGCTGAAGGACAGCCAGGGGTATCCCAGTGCCAACTGGGACAGGGAGGCCACGTGGAGCAGCCTGGATTGGTGCCCAGCACCTGCCGTCTTCCCCATCACTGGCATCCTCCCCATCCCCACACCTCTCACCCCCCCCCGGGGGTACTCACAGAGGGGCCGGGGGGTCCAACTCGTCCAGCAGCACCAGGGAAACCAGTAGCACCCTGGAAGGGAGAAAAGTTGGATTTAGCGGCATCAGATCCAGGTGTTACAGGGCCAGGGGATGGTCCCCTGGCTGGGAGCCACAGCAGGGAACCCCGTGGCTGGTGGCCAGGCAGGAAGGATTCATCTGGAGGGCTGATTCTGTGGGCATTAAAGCAACCTCCCCCTTTTCCCCTCTGCTCTACCCCCTCCTGGGATGAAGCCACCCCAGATCGATGCCATGGCCCAGGTAGTTTTGGAGTTGCAGGACTGGAGGTGCCCCACTGTGTTGGGGTAGCAGAGCCAGACACACTGGGGAGTTAAACCTCCTCGGGAGTGTTCACCCCCAAGGGGGGGTTCCCAAACCCCCCCATCCCCACAAGACTGGTACTTACAGGGGGTCCAGCGCTTCCACGAGCACCTTTGGGACCAGGAGCACCAACAGCACCCTGTGAGGGAAGGAGGAGGAGGTAGAGGAGGAGGTGAGGGGTGAGCTGTGCCACGGGACTAGACCCCAAGGGGGTGTGGGGTGGGATGGGGGAACTTACAGCAGGTCCAGGAGCACCAGTGGGGCCAGCAGGGCCGGGGGGACCAGCATCACCCTTCGCTCCAGCATCTCCAGTTTCACCTTTAGCACCAGGCTGGCCGTCAGCACCCTGTGGGAGAGGGAGAGGGGTGGATTTGGGGGGCTCATCATCACCCTGACAGGGACAGGATCAGACCCCCAGGCAGGGGGGAGTGAGGCTGTTTCACTTACAGGGGGGCCAGCAAATCCAGCAGGACCAGGAGGGCCAGGCTCGCCGCGGTCACCCTGGGAGAGATGGGAGAGAACAGAGTCAGATGAGCAGGGGACGGCCACCAGGGCCACCAAGGGGTAACCAAAGAGCAGGGCCATCACTCAGGGTGAGGGGACACTTACGGGAGCACCACGGGCACCAGTGGGACCAGCAGGACCGGGGGGACCAGCTTCCCCCTGGAGAAGGGGAGGAAAACCAGAAAAAAATGAGGTCAGGGCTGTGGCGAGGAGGTGGCAATGAGCGCCTGGACACATCTGTCCCGGGGGGATGTCCCTACCTTGTCACCAGGAGCACCAGCAGGGCCGGGGGGGCCGATGGGACCAGTCAGACCTCGGAGACCGTCTTTGCCAGGAGCACCGTCAGCACCTTTGGGACCTGGGTCACCCTGGGGAGGAAGAGGACAGTGGGTTACTGGGGAGGTCCCTTCCAGGGGTTTGCCCCTTCTCCCCTTTCCCCTGGGTGCACTGAGCCATCTCTGGTTCTTTGCCCTCCCTGGGAGAGGCTGGGACCATCCTCCTCCTCACCAGAGCTGGGCTCTCAGTGAGGGACTGTCCCCAAGGGCCATGCTCGGATGAGGACAGAAGTGACGCTGAGCACCCCTGCTCCAGGGTGGTGCTGCCCCTTGGCTTGGGGGCACATCCAGCTCCAATGAGGGTACACAGAGGTGGTGGGGAGCAGGTGACCAAGGGAGACATCAAGGTTTTGGGGGACACATCCAGCCCCAAAGGGATTGATAAGAGGAGCACAGGCATAGTGGGGAGTAGAGGAGAAATGGGGACACTGGGGTTTTGGGGACATATCGAGCCCTGAGGGGACAAACAGGGGGCACAGGGGTGGTGGAGAGCAGGTGATCAATGGGGATATCAGGGTTTTGGGGGGTACATCCATTCCCAAGGGGACGATGAGGGGGTACTTGGGTACTGGGGAGCAGAGGAGCAAAGGGGACATCGAGGTTTTGGGGGCACATCCAGCCCCAAGGGAACGAAGAAGGGGGCACAGGGATGAGCAACAGGAACACTGGGGTTTTGGGGACACATCCAGCCTCAAGGGGACAATGAGGGGGGCACAAGGAGGAGCAATGGGGACATCAGAGGTTTGGGGACACATACTCTGTCACCCTTGGCCCCTGGCAGGCCGGCAGCACCACGTTCTCCGGGCATACCCTGCAGACCGGGGGGTCCTTGGTTCCCGGGGGCTCCGGGAGCACCAGCATCACCCTGGGAAAGAGCCACAGAAAACAGGGATTAGCGAGACCCCGGCACAGCAAAACCTTCCCCAGCTCCAGCCCCAACCAAAGGAAGTGAAGCCAAACCCATTCCCCTTTACAGCTGCACCCCAAAAGCTGGGGGCAATCACCCACCACCCCGACATTCCCAAGCTGGCACCTACCTTAGCACCATCATTACCAGGAGCACCATTAGCACCACGAGGACCTTGGGGACCGGGGGGGCCTTGGACACCGCGTTCACCAGGGAAACCTCTCTCACCCTGGAGGGGGGAGGCAGGAGAAGGGCCGAGGCAGTCAGGGCGGTGCCGGGCACTTTGGGGTGCCAAGAACTGATGGGGAGCCCGCGGGGTTCAACTTACCCTGGCACCAGCGGGACCAGGGGCACCAGCATCTCCAGGGACACCCTGTGTGGGAGGGAGAGGGTGTGGAGTCAGAGGGGGCTCTGGGGATGGGCCAGAGGGGTCCACAGGGTACCCCCAGGGGTCTCTCAATCCCTGGGACAGGGCTGGGATCCTCCACTGTGTGGAGCACATGGCCTGAGGGAACACTGGGGGATCTCCCGTCAACAGCCCCCCTCCACAACTGGGAGAGGGGAGATGGGGAGGGCACAGGGAGGGTCCCAAATCATGCACACTCACCTGCTCACCAGGCTTGCCAGCCTCTCCGGGGGGACCAGCAGGGCCTGGCAGACCCTGGGGAGGAAGAAGAAGAGTCATGAGTCACCAGGGAGGTGGGAGACCAGAGGGGACAAGGGAAAGGGTAACGTCACCCTCACCCCAGGTGGTTTATCCCCTCACCATGGAAGGGAACACCCCTCACCTGGAAGCCAGGAGCACCAGCGGGACCTTGTTCACCTCTTTCTCCAGCAGGACCCTAGGGGAGGCAGGACAAGCATTGAGGGGGGGACACACACTCATTTCTGAGCCCCTTCTCCAGTGGTCGAGCACGGCCTTGGGTGGCCATGGGCTAAGGAATACTCACAGTGGGGCCGGGAGGACCTTGGGCACCAGTTTCACCGTCTTTGCCAGCAGCACCCTGTGGAAGAGGGAGAGGAGGGTGCTCAGAGCATGGCCAGACCTGCAGCCCCCGCAAAGCTCTGCGTGTAACCCCCGCCTCCCCAAAACAGGGTGTGGCCACACGGTGTCCTTCAAAGGACGGGAGACACCGTGGGGCGAGCTGCCCATGGCCACGTAACCTCCCTGCTGTGCCTGCTCCAAAGCTGCTGGAAGCCACTGGAATGGAGTCCCAAACACCTCATCCCGCTGCCATCCTTGTCCTTGTGGCTTTCCCTGACACTGCTCAGCCATCTCACTCCCTATCCCTGCCACCCCACACTGGGGTGACCCTCCCTGCCACCCCATGCTGGGGTGATGTCCCCTGTCACCTCACACAGCCCTGCCAAGCCCCCACCAGACCTTTTGTGCTCCAGCAAATACTCACCACGGCACCAGGGGGACCAGGAGCACCTCTCTCGCCAGGTTTGCCGGGCTCACCCTAAAAAGAGAGCAGGATGAGACCCGTGACAACACCGGGGAGTGGGGGGGCAGGTCTCCTGAACCACCTGCCCACGCACAGCCACCGTCCCGGGTGGTGGCAGTGGTCGGTGGGTGGGATCCCTCATGGACCAGGGTGCAGCATCACCCCGGCAGCCCCCCGCGAGGTGGGTGGGTCTCACTCACCGCAGCACCTTTGGGGCCAGGGAATCCCATCACACCAGCTTGACCTCTTGCCCCGGGGGGGCCGGGGGGGCCGGGGCGACCGTCTTGACCAGCGGGACCCTGTTATGGAGGGAGTCAGCACCCCGTTAGCTGAGCCCGTGGCGAGCCAAGGGAAGAGGAGGGGACATCAGTGGGGATATCAGTGGGGTAACTTACAGGGGGGCCAGTCTTGCCGTCGGGACCGGGGCTCCCGGGGCTTCCAGTCAGACCCTGCAAAGGAATGGGAAGTGGGTCAGGAGCTCAGGTATCCCAGGAGACGTTCCAGAGAACGAGAGCGTCCTGGAAAGCAGCTTCTCCGTCGGCTCGGGGCGTGACAGCCGGCATCTACCCGTGTGGCTCGTTGCTGCAGCTGCCACGGTGTCGCCGTGCCCGCCACCCTCCACGCTCACCTTGGCACCGGGGAGGCCTGGTTCCCCGGGGCGTCCAGCTTCACCAGGAGATCCTTTGGGGCCGACGGGGCCGGGGGAGCCACGCTCGCCGGGGGGACCCTGGGAAAGGAGGGAGGGGTCACCCCGACTGCGGGACAGCATCCGGGGACAGGACAGGAGCAGTGTCATCGGAGGTGGCAGTGGCACAGAGTCGCTCTGGTCACTGCATGGGGACAGATGACACTGCCCAGTGTCACCACAGCCCCGATGACACGACTTCCTCACCCAGATAGACACGGGCACCCACCTTGGGGCCAGCGATGCCATCAGCGCCAGGGAAACCGCGGCTGCCTGGAGCACCCTGCGAGGGACACCAGAGGGGTCAGTGTGGGGACACAGGGTGGCCTGGGGGGGCTTGGGGGTGCAGAGGAGGGGTGTGCCGGTGTGGGACACGGCCACCGGTGGGAGCAGTCTGAGGAGTGGCTGGGGATTGTCACCACGGTGTCCTCGAGTACGCACAAGGTTCAGCTGCTGGACAGCACGGAGACGGGGATGGGGACAGGGATATGGTAGGGAGGGGACAGGGATTCTCCTACTCACACGTTCGCCAGCAGGGCCGGGAAGCCCAGCGGGGCCGGGCTCACCACGAGCTCCTCTCTTGCCTTCCTCACCAGCAGGGCCAGGGGGACCTTGGACACCAGCGGGACCCTGGGGGAGGAGGCGAAGGGATGAGCACTCACAGGATATGCTGGGGCCAGGAGGGGTCGAGACCCCGAGGTGGCATTGGGGGGATCGCTTACGGGTTCGCCTTTGGCACCAGTGTCACCCTTGTTGCCTGGAGCACCGGGCTCACCCTGGAAGTGTATGGAGAGAAGAAGGGAAAGCTGTTTAGCACCAGATGGAGGAGTAGAGGGAGCCCTGAGCCACATCCTGATCAGCCCTCAGAGGCAGGATGGTGCTCAGCATCTATCACCTCCCAGCACCACCCTGCCCTGGCAAGGCTGGAGGGACAGGAGACACCAGAGGAGGCACCTCCAGGTAGAACATCAGCTTGCTGGAGCAGAGGAAGGGATCCAACCCCAGGAAGAAGAAGATTGAGGTGTTCAGGGATACTCACAGTGTTACCCTTGGGACCAGGGGCACCGCTGGGACCCTGGGGTCCGGAGGGACCACGGGCACCGGGGAAGCCAGGAGCACCAGCAATGCCAGGAGCACCCTAGAAGAGGCAGAGGAGGGTGTGAGGAAGCAGCCCAGTCCTTCATCCTGGAGCTGGAAGAGGAAGTGAGGGATGCTCACGGTTGCACCCTTGGCACCAGGTTGACCATCAGCACCAGGATTGCCCTGCAGAGAGAAAGAGGAAGAGGATGGTTATGGTGGGGCCAACAGGACGTGTGGTCAAGGGACAAGGAGCCATCAGATGTCACTTACAGCAGGACCAGCAGCACCAGCAGGGCCAGGGGGACCAGGCTCACCACGGGCACCTTGGGGACCTTCACTGCCACGAGCTCCCTGGGGACCGGTTTCACCCTGGGGAGGAAGAGGAGGAAAGAAGAGTCATGAGCATGAGGGCTTCCCTGATCCCCAACATGGCTGATTTCCCCTCCATCTGCAGCTCCTTTCCCATGGAGGCAAAGCCAGGAGAGATGCCCACAGGACTTGTTTGGGAACATCCCCATCTATCCCAAGCAGTGGTCAGCTCATGGCATTTTGGGCTTGGAAACCCATGTCACACTCAGTCTTCCTCCCAGTCCCACTCTCCCGGTTCCCACCAGTTTCTCCAAGCCCAGGAGACGGTGAGGCAGGTTCTACCTTAGCACCAGCAGCACCAGGGAAGCCGGGGGGACCAGCAGGACCAGTTGGACCCTAAATGGGAGAGAGGGCACATGTCAGATGAGGGATCCCACCTCCCACACCTGGCACTGGTGGGATTTCCAGACAGCAGAGCTCTGGCTGCCATCCAGGATTTCCCATTTGTGGTGGAGCTGGGATGAGATCTCCCTCTGGAGAAGCTGGAGGTAATTCCAAGTGCTGGAGGAGGATTACTTACAGGTTTAGGGGTTACTTACGGGGGGACCGGCAGCACCGGGAGCACCATCGTTGCCACGAGCGCCCTACAGGACATGAAACATCCATGACTGATGCCCACAGGTGGGAGAGGTGACCCCCAGGCCTCCCAAAGCCCCGGCTGGGGGTCTCAGCCTGACCCAGACTGGATACTCACAGCGGGGCCAGATGGACCAGGACGGCCTCTCTCGCCAGGAAGACCACGAGGACCCTGGGGAGGGGACAGGACACATTTAGGACATGCTTGGGTCACCTGAGTGGGCACTTCCCTCTTTCTGAGCCCTCTCCTATCCCTGTGCCTCCTGTCTCCCCCTGCTCCTGTCCACAGTGACATTTCCAAGGAGTTAATCCCCCTCCCACACTGGTGAGTTCCTGGGGAAGCATCCCTGAGGATAAACTGATTCCCCATCGGGTCTTGCCCCCCATCCCCATCCTCTCTTACCCAGAACCCCCCCACACACCCCTCAGGGGTCTGTCACTCACCATCTGCCCAGGAGCACCATTCTCTCCAGGGCTACCAGGCTCACCCTAGGAGGGAGGAAGGACAACATGAGGGACCTGCTCTGGAGGGAAGAGGGAACAGCAAGGACATTCCCAGGACAGGGATGACTCTGCCACCACTCCTCACCTTGGGACCAGCAGGTCCAGGCTCACCCTTGGCGCCATCCAGACCACTGAAGCCCTGGGGGGCAGGAGAGAGAAGGGGTGGAGGGTCAGGAAGGGATTTTTGGTGATGCTGGGGTCCCACACCCCCTAAATCTCCCAAGCATGGAAGGGGGGACTCACTCTGTGTCCCTTCATGCCTGGCAGGCCAGCAGTGCCTGGGAGACCACGGGCACCCTAGAAGGAAAGGCGAGGTGGTCATGGTGATGTTGGGGGTGCTGTTCTTGCACCCCATTACCCCTGTCCCCAAGGGGACAGACAGCTGGTGTCACCAGCAGAGCACAGCAGGGGTATCCCCTCCTGTGTCCCGTGGGGGCCACCTCACCTGGGGGCCGGGGGGACCACGCTCTCCGGGGCGGCCAGGCTTTCCAGCTTCACCCTAAGGAGAAGGACACCAGGTTGGTGGCATGTGCCCAATCCAGGCAGCTCCTGCTCACCTGGAGGGGCTGTCAGGGCTACCAGGCCCCAAACCTGGGGAGAGACCTCATGGACAGGCCACTTACGTCATCTCCGTTCTTGCCAGGGGGGCCGGCGGGACCACGGGGACCCATGGGACCCTAGGAGAGAATTAGGGCAGCAGTGAGGATGATGTGAGTGACAGCTGCCCCCGTCACCCTGCCACCCACCCTGGGCAGTGCCAGGCTCTGCCAGCCTTGTTCCCATGGATCTCAGATCAGGGACAGTGTGGTCACAGCCAGAGTTGGGAACCAGCAGCATTGTCCCCATGCCCACGGGACATCAGCTGGAGTACGAGGTGGCAGAACTCACAGAAGCACCAGGCTCTCCAGGTTCACCAGGGGGACCTTGGAAACCTTGAGGACCCTAGGGGGGAAAAAGGAGGGAAATAAAAAAAGGAAAAAATGGGTTACAAAGTGAGAAGTTTGGGCCTGAAGCCCCCAGTGGCAGTGGAAGTGTCCCCCCCTATGGTGGCACAAGGATGTATGTGCCCACATGCTTCTGCAGCTGTCAGAAAGGATGGGATACCCCCAGACTATCCCACCCACCTCCCGCCACCCAAAGGGGCCTTGGGCATTGCTTGTCCCCAAAATCAAGGGGAGAGGAAGAGGAGACACTCACAGGAGCACCGGGAGGGCCGGGGAGACCACGGGGACCGGCTGGGCCCTGGGGGAAAGAAAAATGATGAGGGGGTACCTTGTCACCCTGTCCCTATGGCCAGCCCTTCCCTGTCCCCATCACCACCTCACTGCTGCATCCAGTGAGCCTCACTGTCCCCCCCCCTCATCCCACTGTTGTCCCCATCTCCACCCATCACTGCCCCAAAACCACCTTCTTGTCCCCATCAACCCCATTCCCTGTCCCCACTGCCACCCCATCCCTGTCCCCATTCCTGTCTGTATCCTCACACATTCCCTGTGCTTGTCCCTGACCCCATCCTTGTTACTGTATCCACCCATTCCCTGTTCCTATTGTCATCCCATCCCTGTCCCAATCACCTCCCATTCCCTGTCCCCACTGCCACCCCATCCCTGTCTCAGTTGCCACTCCGTCACCCCCCTGACCCTGTTCCCCTCCCTGTCTCCATCACCCCCACATTCCCAGTTCCTCATTGCCACCCCATCACTGCCCCCTTTGCCACCCCATCACCATGTCCTCCCCCACTGCCACTCTATCTCTGTTCCCACTACCACTCCATCACCACCTTCACTCTGTCCCCATCACTGTCCCCACTGCCACCCCATCCCTGTTCCCACTGCCCCCCCGTCACCACTCTGACCCTGTCCCTGTCCCCATCCCCATCCCTGTCCCCATCCCCTCTGGGACTAACATCCCTCCCCATCCTTCCTGTCCTCTGCCACTCAGTGTCATCACCAACACACCACTTCTGGCACCTCACCCAGCTTGACTCTCCACCCCCCCTGCTCCCTGTGCCCCTCGTGCTCCCCTGTGCCCCCCCCATGTCCCCCTGTGTTCCCCCCCCATGCTCACCATGGGCCCAGGCACGGCCATCCCCCCGGCTTTCTCATCGTAGCCATAGGACATTTGGGGAGCGAAGTTCTGCAGGAGGAGGGAGAGAGCAGGGGTGAGCGGGGCATGGGACCCCCAGGGGGTGCTGCACAGCCAAGGACCCCCCCATACTCACTCCGCCGAGGCCTGGGGGGCCTGGAGGGCCTGGGGGTCCCGGGAGACCAGGCTGTCCAGGGATGCCATCTCTGCCAGGGGGGCCAGGGAGTCCCTGGAGGGGAGAGAAGAGGAGGATGAGCTCCAGTGGGATGGGGGTTCCGGGGTTACATCCACCCTGGGGGAGATGAATGATACCCACCCTGTCTCCTTTGGGGCCGGTGTCTCCTTTAGGACCCTGTGGTGGAGAGATGAAATAGATGGTCAGAAAAAGAGGTCTCCAAAAATATGGGGGGAGGGGGGCTCTTGGGAGGTTTTGGGGGGGTTAATTTTGGGGGAACCTTTACCTCTACTCCAGCACTTTCTGGGTAGACAGGAGAGGCTGTGGGAGGAAAAAGGCTGTTCAGAGTAGCCCAACATCACCCACCAATCCCACAGCGCAGACACCAGGGGGTGGGGAGGACACCAAGCCCCACTGGTCCCCAGGGACCCCCAGGATGGATAACTCGGTGGTGGGAGAGCGCTGGGGGACACGCCACTATACCGTCGGTGTCGGGACAGATGGGGCAGCATTCTCCAAAGGGGATCTCGGCGTTGGGGCAGTCAGAGGTGTCCTCGCAGATCACCTCGTCGCAGAGGATGTTGCCGCTGTCGCAGACGCAGATTTGGCAGGGTTCTGGTTTCCACACATCCTTGTCGTTGTACGTTAGCCCATCCTGGACGCAGCTCCCAGTTTGGACTGGGACGCAGGGGCAGGGCAGGAGGAAGTGTCATGACAGGGGGGAATGGATCTCGTCTAGCTTTCACCCCCACCCCTCCCTTCATCCCCCTTTTTGCTCCTGCAGTGTTTCTCCCTTCATCTGGTTCTCATCAGCCCATCGCGGTGACACAGGAAAAAGCTCCACAATAAACTTCCCACATACGCTGGAATTTAAACCAAAAAAAAACACCCACCCTGCAGCCACTCGCTACGTCCCGCGGGCGGATGGGGCCAAGGCAAACATGCCCCCCCCGCAAAGGCAGGGGGGGTCCCCGCCGTCCGCGGGGGGACGGCGACAAGGATGGGGTGGGATGGGGCGGGATGAGACGGGGATGGGACTGGGATGGGACGGAGTGGGTTGGCCCCAACGTCTGGGCTGAAATTAGATCCAGGCGGCTGCGGGATAGGGCTGGATCAGGCCAGATGGGACTGGGAAATGGGAGGACAGAGAGTGAAAGCAGGCGGGGGCTGGCGTGGGGAGGGGAGGGCAGGGCGGCGCGCCAGCACCCGGGGATGGCCCCATGGTGAGGAAGGGTCCTGGGGAGGGGGCGAGGGCTGAGTCAGCTCGTGCAAGCCCACTCGGGAAGGGGAAGAAAAAAAAAGGCAAAGGGGGGGAAAAAAGGAAAACGGGGGAAAAAAAAGGCAAAGGGAAATAAAGGGGGAGAGGG